ATCTCTATTTCAACAATTCCATCCAAAAATGATGAACATTTATTCATCAACAACAATTTTTTACTTATTGAAAACATTAAAAATGGTTCAAATTACTATATTTTTGCTAAGCATTTTCTTACCCCACCCCCCTCCCAAACAATCCTATATACGAAGTATAATTTTCTTTCACATGTATGCATTAAATTCCTGACTAGTTACAATATCATTCTCTAATTAATGTACAGTAGTTTTTTTCTTTCATTATCCTCTTTGGTATAATTGTCTTACTTGATCTTTTATGTCAAATAAATTATAAGAACAATTTGAGTTGTAAAATCAAAAGGCAAGATCAAAATTCTCTAGAAGTGCTATCCGCAAAAGTTATCTACAGTGCATTTAGGAGATTGACTTATAATTTCATTTTAAATTATCTTTTCTTTGAAAATTTGAAGGTCAACATATTATAATTTGTTACTCATTTATGATGCATCTACCTAATTATTCATCTTCATGTTATACTTGTTTCTATAATTCTATATAATAATCTTTACTAAACATACTGTAAACATGTAATGTTTAATCATTATTATTCTACACCTAAATGATTTAATATGATGAAGAAAATTGAGTCTAATGAAAGCACGGCTGAAATTTATATGACTAATAATACTCCGTATAAAGAATCAATAAAGATAAAAAAAACATTTGACATTTGTAAGAATATTTCTATTTAATTAAAGGTTATGGAAATTATTATTGTAGGCCCGTTTGAAGTAGCAAGTGCATAGAATCATATAAAGCCTACCAACGGAAGAGACAATGCAGGTGGGATGGGGGGACAATTGGGACACAATTTCGAATGGTCCGAGCAAGTGTTACGTGCTCTAATAGAGTACATGCAAGTATGCAACCACCATAATCCAATGCATGTATAAAATAATCCAAAGTCTAAAATATAAATGTGAATTTACCATGATAATCCAATGCCTAAAATGTAAATATCATTGCTGAATTGCATATATTACTATGAAAATTTAGCAATATTAATATGTAAATAAACATTATTTACAGAGAAAGCATACTCGTGTTTCCTGAAATTAAAGCAACTTGATAATTCCAGAAATTTGAGGAAGATAACCCTTCCAAGAGGGAAAGGATAACCGTCCCGTCCCACCATGAGCATCATGCTCCCACTCCCAAAACGACATAGTTTTGGGCAGTTTATAAAAAAATCGCATGAACATTATACGCGTAAATAGTACACGTGTGTACAGTGATTTTTTTTTTGTCCCAGTAACATGGATGGTGTAACTCGCGTGTAAAGATGTGTAACTCACATTATTGATCAATGTAACTCCAGCACATCCAAAATGTAATTTGTCAAATATTGATTTCAATGTAAACAATGAGAAAAGAAAGCCTAATTACACAATTGATTTAGGTACGTAAAACGTGAATATGTTTTGTTTTTAATATCATGTCCAATTTTTTTATATAGAAAAGATAATTTTTTGATTCAATAGCAGGAGTTGATTTTTTGATGTAACTCGTGTTATTACCAATGTAATTCGCGTTGTTGGCCAATGTAACTTATGTGTATACAGAATGTAACTTGTTGGAAAATTGAACAATGATTTTTTGTTTGTTTGAGATATTATAAACATTGATTTCAATGAAAGCAATGAAAAATTGATCCTAATAGCTTAATTACTTTTTTTAAATAGACAATATGTTTTTTTTTAATATTAGGGCAATAAAAATGATATAGCAAGGGTTTATTCCGTGGTGTAACTTGTATACATTAAGATGTAACTCGTGTACATTAAGATGTAACTTGCGCAGAAGAAGATGTAACTTCATGATATATTATCAAATGCAACTTCAAGAATCAAAATAAACGAACTCAATGTCTTAAAACCCTCTAAAAACGTATAAAAGTAATAAAAAAAATATTTCTCAAAATAAAATAAAGTGTATGAATAAGTACTAAGAAACAAAAAGTATCTAATTTATTTTGAAAGGATGAATATTTGATTAGAAAATTGTAATACACACATTTCAATGTTCCTAAATTAAAAAAATCATTTGGAAACATGATAGCTTTTGACAATGAAAACATTAAAAGTAAAAAAACAAAAAAGATAAAAAGAAAGAGGGTGGGGGGAGTGGGAGTGTGCAACTGGATGCAGGGGTGGACTCGGGCCGGTTTGGGCCTGGGCCCGCCCGGGCCTCGGTTCATGAAAGGGGAGGCCCGGAACCGGCCCGGGTAACCCCCGGGTCCGGGTCGGGCCGGGCCAGCCGGCCAGGCCTCGGTTCAATTTAAATTTTTTTATTTACTTTTCCTAATTAACCCCCAACCCTCCCCCCTCACCCCCAAACCACCTCAAATGGCCCAAAATACCCAGCCCAATCCAAAAACTTAAAAAAATTCAAAATAAAAAGAAAAATAAATAAATTTGCCTGGACCGGCCCCGAACCGGCCGGGCCGGTTCACCTTTTTAGGGGCCCGAGCCCAGCCCGAAACCCCAGCGGGTCGGGCCTACCCGGACCGGTCCCTGGCCGGGCCGGCAGTTCGGGCCGGTTCAAACAGTGACCAGGTCGGGCCGGTTCCGGGGCGGGCCGCCCGGCCCGAGTCCACCCCTTGGATGGGAAAAGCTTTTGGATAAAGACAAAAAAAAATAGAAAATGAACCATGCGAGTGAGGGAATGCAAGTGAGTGAGATTTAGTTAGAATACGTTACCGTATTTGGACCGGTATGTGCATGGTATACTGGTCGTACGGTATAATTTGCCTGGTTCACTTGGGTGACGCTACAAGAATTTTGACACTACAAGTCTCTCCTTAGGCTAACCATAATCCACTTACGTCAATAGATCAAATATTTAATCAGTTTATACGTATTCAATTAGTCAATTCAATTCAGATTTACCGCAATCTAGTATCGTTAATATATTCACCCAACACTTTTTATTAAATATATTTTATTAACGATATAGAATAAAATTATATGAAAGCTAAATGATCATGTTGAGTAAATTTAGTCAAAAAAGTAACTTCAACCTAATTTATTTTGATTATTGCACAATTCAGCGCGTACGATCAAAAGTTGTGTATTTGATGAAAACTGGCCGATAAGATGAAAATATAGTTTACCGAAGAGATTGTGAATTTTATTTTAAATTTTGTAGGTGTTTGGTAAACCTAATTAATTATGTGTGTCCATAATTAATTAGGTTTACCTTATTAATAATAATAACATCTTAATCATAACTCACATCTTAAATCATAGATGAAAATATAGTTTACCAAAGAGATTGCGAATTTTATTTTAAATTTAGTAGGTGTTTGGTAAAACTAATTAATTATGTGCATAATTAATTAGGTTTACCCTTATCACTCATTCACTCATACCATATCAACTTTTTTTTTTGCAAACAGTCAACTCAACTACTATTAATCAAATCATGGTGAAGAGCATTCAAAATACAAACATGAATACGGGCTGGGACTGGGCGGGCTTCTAACTTAAGAATTTCAGGCCCGCTACCGGCCCGAGTTTGTACTGGCACAGGGTCGGGCAGGGCTACCTAGGCAGGATTCAAACGGGACTAGGTCGGGTCGGGCAAAACAATTCAAATCCCAATTTTTTTAACTCATAACCGTTAGGCCCGAGCCCAGTCGGGCCGGTCCACTAAAATCAACTTGGTCAAACTAGACTTGGTCCCAATCCCGGTCAACTGGGCTGGGGCGAGCCCGCACAGTGGCAGGCCAAGCATGCCCCGTCCCAGTCCATTGCTAGGACCTAGCACCCGAACATGGTAGTCAGACAAAGAAGCCATCACTTCAGCAAGTTCATGGGAGACACAATTCATAGACCGCCAAATAAAAGCCATATAAATGTTGTTCAATACAAGCAATAGAAATGATGTTCAACTGACTCAACAAATCTCTAATATTAACTTCTTTATTAAGAGAAATCCCCGAAAAAAAAACAATTTACAAAATACCAGTCCTCCTAGCATTGTGTACTAATTTTGCCCAATGATATGCCCACTTATTTGTTTGTTTGTTGTTTACTAATACGTCCTTAAAATAGTTATTAATATTAATTTTTAACATTAAATTCATGTCAAATGAATAGATTCATATATATGGAGTAACATTATTACTAGTAGTTTGAGTGCTCTTCATGTCAGGCCGGCCTGACGGGCTGCCCCGTCCGGCCGAGTCCGTTTGGGCACCTTCCCGGTGGAATTTTTTGATGAAATTTTTTGAGCATGTTCCTCAACAAGTCTAGTTTGTCCATACCAAATTTCAGCTCAAAATTCGATCGGGAAGGCATTCAAATCATTTTTTGAAGTTGACTGCGTCAAAATATACATAGAAAACTGCAGTCAACTTCAAAAAATGATTTGAATGCCTTCCCGATCGAATTTTGATCTGAAATTTGGTATGGCCAAACTAGACTTGATGGGGAACATGCTCAAAAAAATTCATCAAAAAATTCCACCGGGAAGGTGCCCAAATGGGCTCGGCCGGACAGAGCAGCCCGTCAGGCCGGCCTGACATGAAGATTAGTATATAAAAGATACTTCTACTTGTGTACCGCAACGGCAATTGATAAGAACTTGAAAACAAGTGGGAAAAAATGTTCAAAGGCAATACTTCTAGGGGAAATTTAATTGTGCACCCCATTGTTTGGGCGGCATCAGACTTTGCACGCTATTTTAAAAAAATAGATGTGTACGCCTCTACTTCTTACCTGATGTTGGAAATAAATATGCTCCTTTATTTGTAAACCATACAAGATGAGAAATGGTATGTTTCAAAAATAATAGTAATAATAATGGTATGTGTACTTACTGTTATTTTGCCCTTTTTAATTAGCTGCTTTAGTAAGTAATTGAAGGTTTTTAAGTAGAAACTTATAGAGCTAGTAAATAATAATACCAAGAAGATAAATAGAGAATAGACGAAAAAGTGGAAAAGAAGATAATGTAAAAAAGATGAAAATGCAAGAGTGTGTATACCTTTTGATATGATATATTTGCCAAAACGGGAAGCTGGAGCAAATATTGAAAAACTTCTAAAAAGAGAATCTAGAGAACGAATAGAAATCACGGGGAGTATTGTAAAGATCCTGGTTGATACCAAAGTGTTCATGCAAATATCATATTTTACCTCTGTGCACATGGTAAAGGTGTTATGTACATACTAAGGGTGTGGATGATGTCTGCGGCCATATTCTCTGCGGTTTCTATTAGCCATTACAGAAGATGAAGTGTTTTCGTGAGGTAAATCCGTTGTACATACGAATGCCCTTTCATATGAAACTGGGTATGTGATTCTCTGGTTGTAATCCTCAGAACCAAATTGACCATAATTTTGAGGAGGAAAAAGTGTGCCCTGGTTGTGATACATATCAGGCCGAGAATTGAACGGTTGAGATGCTTTACCCCTAGCATGATAACTAACATTTGGACGGTTTGGAGGTATTTGAGGTCGAGATGAGGTTATTTCTTTAGGTTTTCTACCATGGTGAGATTTCGTTTTTTTGTTGTTGCCACGTTTCTGGATGTGATCTTCTTCACGCTTCCGCTTTTTGGCACCTAATTTCATTCGAATAATTGGATTAAAGAACTCAAGAAAAAAGGGTACAAAATATATTTGATCCATCAGTTTTTGACATCATATGATTGTGGTCCTCAAACTAAAAGTTTCAACATTTTAGTTCACACTTGCTGTGCGGCGCGCCGGCACCACACATGCTTCGGTGTATTAGCCACATGACATCATATGATAATACCATGTGGGGGATTGTCAACTGTTAAGTAGCTGATACTCTGATAGCATGCCACATAGCATCACAAGGCATGTCATCTGGCATTTCACAATAAAATGGGTAGAATATTTAACCTACTAAAATGATATAGGAATTATAGTGTAGAGACCAAAACATTTGAACTTTTTGTGTGATGAGCAAAATAATATGAGTGAGGGAGAATCATATGTATTTTTACCCAAGAAAACATATACATTGTGATAAATGTACCTTTTTTACTTGTAAGGGATTGCTTTCTCTTCATTGATCTCATCTTTCTAGTTTCTCTGACCAATCTTGCAGCTGCTCCTCGCCTATGCTTCTCTGAAAGTACTCCTAATCTTTCCTTCTCATTTTTCCACCGCTAGTAAATGGAGCACAAAAAAACATGCCACTAGCATTAGTTAATGATTACAACTAGTAATCAAAATTTGGTCAAGGCACAAAAGTACTTGTTCACTGTACAACTAGAAACAAAATTTGGTCAAGGCACAATATACTACAAGTACTACCTCCGTCCCACTAACATAGGGACATGAGAAGGAGGTGTGGTTATTAAGAAAAGTGAATTTATGTGGTTGATATTTAATTGATAAAGTAAAACTAAAGTAAGAATGATTTGGAATCACACAAACTTTACCAAAATGGAACAATCTTAGTGGGACAGATCGAAAATAAGATGAGACAATCTTAGTGGGCGGAGGAAGTAATAGTTTATGGAGCACACATACCCCTAACTGGATTTTAGATACATTTTGTACTCAATTATGAAAAAAAAACTGAACTTCTAAGAAATAATTGTTTCCCAAGGCCACGTAAAAGAATCTTTAAACTCAATACGGAGTATTTTTTAGGCCCTGTGTCAACTCATTATTTAAAGGGAAAGTTCCCAAAATAGGACTAAAACAGTTAGAAAATTCCAAAATAGGACTGACATGTTTTTATTCCCAAAATAGGAGTAATTACTGTCAAGTTTAGAAAATACTGCCATGTTTGAAGTCTGGTACTGCCAAAACATGACAGTAATTAGTCCTATTTTGAGAATAAAAACATGACAGTCCTATTTTGGAATTTTTAAACCTTTTTAGTCCTATTTTGGGTAATATCTCTTATTTAAATCAAGAAAGAATACTCTCTGTTTTTATTACTTGATGTTTTAGGGTTTAGCATGGAGAGCTCATTATGGTTAATTTCTTTTTTCCAATCACCCTTTTGCAGAGCTTTGGTAGTTAATATCTTCATTGGGAATACACAAATAGAGGCATCAGGTAAAATTAAACAAAGGGAGTAGCTTTTAATTAGTTCTGGGCCATATTAAGTAATTAAATCTCTACTCGGTGGTAATGCGCTCAAGGGCCGAGTCATGATTAGGACTGATTACTCAGAATTACTAGGACCTGTATTAAGTAAATTTAAAAATTTAAATGCCCCAAAATTCTAGTACGGAGTAATAAATTAGTTTTATTATTCTTCGATATGAACAGACAATAATAATCCAAATGATGAAGTAGCAGCAAATCCCGACATAATAAGCATCCTAACTTCCAAAAAGTCAATCACCTAATAATACTTTATTCTGAACTTTTATGCTAAAGATCTAAACTAATCATCCTCCATAATATTATTTTTTCAATGTTTAATATACCTAATAATTATTCACAAATTCCATAATATCCCAATTTAGTTAAAACATTTCAGATTTAACCCCAAAAATTAAATTCTACTGGCTACCGATCAACTAGGTGAGTCAACCTTGTCACCGAGTAGTGAAAATTGAACAGTGCAACTCAGAGTACTAATCGGCAAGGTCCTACACAGAGTAGTGAGTACTCGTCAAGTGCTCGGCGAGTACTGGACAATTAGGGGTCATATACTAGACCATGGATATGCTATAGATAAACATACTTCCTCCGTCCCGCTAAGATTGTCCCATTTTACCTTTTTGGGAAGTCCCACTAAGATTGTCTTATACCAAATTTGGTAAAGATCGTGTGGCTCTAAACTATTCTTACTTTATTCTTACTTAATCAATTTAATATCAACCACACAAATCACTTTTCTTAATAATCGTGTCACCTTCTCTCGTCCCAATCTTAGTGGGACGGAGGTAGTATCTTAGAAGCTGATTTTAAAGTGTAAATAATATTTGAACAAAATTGTACCTAAAATTAAGATTAGGGATATAATATAGCAATTATATAGTTCAGGAGTACATTTGTGCCGAAAATTAGGTTAGACGTATACGTGGTAACTGTTACGCCTCTTATAGTTCATTGGGTGTTTTAGTCCCTTAACTCAAATAAAATTTTCCGTGCTGAATAGTAACTCACCTGTCTGAAAGTCTTCAGTTTGTAGAGATTTCGACCCTTCACAAGCAAAGGAAAAAGTGGAGGCAATTTCTTAAAACCTTGGCTCCACAAGACTTCAACCTAGTTTAGCACCAAAGAATTAAATGGAGGATGAGTTTAAAGACCGCAGATCATTCTGACTGATATTGTGAATATTTTTTAACCGCACACTCAGCCTTTGCGTTTTATTTTGGTGGTCATTCATAACTATTGCTGTAAAACTGACTACAAATCTAATAATACTTACAGTAAAAGTATGCTGTTGCTTTGCAGCACCATAACTTTCCTTAACAATTCTCCCAGCAATAGTTCTCTTTCCGGAAACTTTGCCACTTCTTGTGATCTTATCAAATCTGAAGAGTATAACTCAATTAGAACCTACACTTGAATATGTCAAATCTGGTACTCCCTCCATTGCAAAAAAAAACCCATTCAAGGTAATTTCTTGTCAACACAATTGAGGTTGGTACTAGTTTATACGTAGTACAATAACGAAAGGTCCCTTATAAAATTATTTCTTGGATTGTTTAGAGTCATTGACAACAGTCACAACACAAGCTTGCAGCTTGGAGTTGCATGAACTTGAATTAATAATAAAAGATTAATTTAAAATGGGGCTCTATTTTGGGATAAAATATGTTCTCTGAGGGATAATTCAAATCTAGGACTCAAAAGTTCAAACCACGGAAGGGAAGAATAGTGAATACTTCTTGTACACTTTTTGTGTGAATAATACAACGTCTCCTTTGCAGACATCACCTAGAAGAAGATTCAATGCAAAAAAACAGGAAATGGCTTAGATAAAAAGAATTGAAAGAACTGCATGTACACTGCTTTGCCATATAAAAATACCAGTGCAATCAATGTTGAATGATGATCTAGGGTAGAATGTTTCACCCTTTCCATCTTTTATCCTGAGCAACACAAGTTTATGAATGAATTATTTAAACTCTAAAAGGAATCCACTTATCAGGAATCAACCAAAATTGTAGCTTTATGAATGTAAGTCATCTATTAAAATAATGTGATCTATGAGCCCACAATTAGCAGTTAAGGGGGGGAAGGGAAATATTTGTCAGTTTCTCAGTGAGTTGATGGGATCATGGGAAAAATGAACAGTAAACCAAGGAGCTAACTTTGGTGCTTTTTCAAAGAGCTGGATGATGTTTCTAAGTTTATCCATTTCCATACTGTTTGTTAAGTCTGCTCCTTTCCATATTACGGAGTATTCTGTTTGTGAACGTGTACTTACCTTATAAAAGAGTCTCTTTTGTGTCAAATAAAACAAACAAGAATGAACTATGAAGGAGAAGGAAACTTCATAAAACTGGATTTGTTCCCTCGTTGGTTTTATATTTTTTGGGTCAATACATTAGATCAAGACAGCCTATCAATATATCATACGGACTTTAAAGTTTAAACATATCCATGATCACCCGACTCACCCAGACTTGGGTACAAACACCTTACACAACAAAAGATATTTCCCAAATAATGGCAGCAATAAATCATTACGAAATTGAAAATCTAGAAGATTTCAATTTGAATGAGTAGGGAAACATACCTCCAGTGCTCCATGATCCTCTCCACGCATTGTTCCTTAGTCCCAGATAATCTTAACCCATGCTTTCTTAAATATGCTTTACACTCCACCAACTTTAAATCCTCCAGTTCACCCTTCCCTACACAATCGAGTTAACACCACAATATCATGAAGTATACCATCCATAATGGTGCAACCGTGCAAGTACATTCAAATTTTTTGTCTGGAGAAGTGGGGAGATATATTCAAAAAATACATTAGGCTAAATCTCCACACCTCGAAGGAAATGGATAGCTTTGCTCAAATGCTGATCACTATCCTCCTCTTTAACTTCTTCGCACTCGGTAGACTCGTCTCTTTCATCATCTGACTCATTCCATTCACTTTCTTCACTTTCTTCACTTTCAGGGTGAATTTCGCTGAAGGGAGAAAATCGCAACGGAGAAGCAGATGGGTCATAGTCCAATAGTTAAGGCTCAACTTGGGAAAACATTAAAAGAATATTAGGTCAATTGGAGATCGTAGTGATCACCATGAAGTAGAAGACAAGGTGTCTACAGAGTGGCCGTCAAATTCGTAATCCGACTCTGAGGTTTCAGAGTATTCTGCCTCTTCTGATCCGGAAGACGACGAAGAAGAAATGATAATGGGAGCTCGATTTTGGCATCTTGTCCTCGTCATCTCGATGGTCGATGTGAATCGGCGATTAATTTCAGATCAATTATTTGAATGCCTCGGTTGCTTAAGCTCTGCCTATTGCTATTCGTCCGCAATACTAAATTCCTCCTCACAATCTAAGCTCAGTGCTCCAAAGATCGTGATTCGACTGCCTGTGAGCTTGCACTAATTCCATCCCAATCTTAATAGTTTAAGAAAGCGTTATTCTTGATGGATTAATTGAAGGACGGTTATTCTTGATGGATTAATTGAACGATGGGAACGATGAAGGGGTGAGCTTAATTCTATTTATCTCAATTCTTCAAATAATTATGAGCAAATAATTATGAGTAGCGAATAAAATTTGGGATTGATGAAGGCGTGGATCATGATTAGGGCTGGACTCGAGTCGGGCGGACCGAACCGGGCCCGACCCGACCCGGCCACTGTAGCAACCGCCCGACCCGGTGTAGCGGGTCTCAGGCGGTCCGGGCCTACCCGGCCCGGGGGTAGGGCGGTCCGGGCTCGAGCCTTCGTAATCTTGAACCGGCCGGGCCGGGCCCGGGCCTAACGGGTCTTTTTTTAAAAAAAAAAATTTGGGGTGTCAAACGGCTCTAATAGCCGTTGGGGGTCTTTGGGGAGCCTCCAAACGGCTCTATAGCCGTTGGAGGGTGGTGGGGGGTGGTGGGGGATAGGGGGTGATGGTGGGGGAACCTATTTATACTCCTATTTTCTAAACATTTTTTACACCTTCTTCATACAATCCTACTCTCTAATTCTCTACTCTCTAATTCTCTATTCTCTCAAATCTCAATCTCTAAAATCTTCATTCATCTCCATCTTCATCTTCTCCAATTATCTCTACATATATATTATTTATATAAATATTATTATATCTACTTATATATTTATTATCTACTTATATATACATATATTACATTACTAATATTTATTATCTACTTAATATATATTTATTATCTTCTAATTATCTACTTTACATATATATATTATAACTTATATTCCTTATCTACTTAATCTCTACTTATTATTAAATCTACTTATATATTTATTATCTACTTATATATACATATAGTACTTTACTAATATTTATTATCTACTTAATACGTAGTATATACTTATTATCTTCTTAATATTTAATTTGATATCTAATTATCTACTTTGCATACATATATTATATTCCTTATATCTACTTAATATACACTTTATATATTAAAGTATTTGTTGAGGTTTATTCCTTCAACCCCCGGGTTCAACACGTAAGCCCAAGGATTTCGAATGGAGTATGTGATTAAACCAGCCCAACAAGCAGATGATATGGATTAGGAAAGCAGTAAGGTAGCGAGTAACTGATTAGGTATTATTATCTCTTAATAACTCCCTAATACAATACTTTTCGCTAAGGCTCCGTCGGCCGTTCGTCTTACAAGGCAGTAGGAGTGCTGCGAGTAAGAATGCTATAGCTAGAGTGCTAATAATAGAAAGTTGCCCACCCTTTACAATGAAATAAATGCTTCTATTTATACCCGCCAATGGGCAGGTGGCTATGCTGACGTGGAGGCCTGCGGACCGCTTGTGTCCCAACCACCAAATCTTCTGCATTAAATGCACTTCCCGCCAGAATCTAGGCTTCCCGCCTAAATAATGGGGACGTTCGTCCGCCAGGGGGTGAGCCGGGTCACCCCAAGTGACCCTCAAGAGACTTCGGCTGTTCGTCCCCCGCCGTTGGTGGATTCTCTCCATGTGGACTGGATCTCCTCCGACGATCATGGGCCTGTGGTCCTGCCCCTTACCTCTGCACTTACGTTCGTCGTGATGGGCCATTTGAACCTGGGCCCCCTAATTCCAGACGTTCGTCTCTTCCCAAGGGTCATGGTCCTGCGCCCAGCCTGGTCCTAGCATGACGTGCGTCCGATAGGAAAAAAGGGGGTTAATGGGCCGGACCTCGGCCTGGGCCATTATCCCAACACAAGTCCCCCACTTCTGATGTTCTGAGCATGCGCAGGACATAAGGAAGTATAGGTGCCCCGAAATGGACGTTCGTGTCTCGATACTTGTATCTTATTGCATCTGGCGGAAGCGTACGCTCGTGGTCATGGTGCTTAACAGCTGTCGACGGTTCAGGAAACGAGGTGACGGCTGCTGTAGCGGCGGTGCATTTTCCGAGGAAAAGCCATCATTACGCTTTCGTCCCACGCACAGCGCGTGAGACGGAATACGCTCCCTGCCACGTGTCCGTCTCTCGTTGGTCCCCCCATTGGTGTCTCTCCTATAAATGCCGGGTTCTCCCTCTAATTTAGGGTTCCCAATTTCTGCTCCCTTGTTTCCGAATTTTCGCAGCTCCTCAAGTCTTCTTCCGCCTCCAAGCTCGGCTAACCCCTTTCTAAGGTAACTTCTATCCTCTGCTTCTTTTCCTTGTCTTGAATTCTCGCCGAGATGGTTTCGATGGAGATCTCGTCAAGTTCTGGTTCGGGTTCATCGGGTTCCTCCACGGGCTCCTCTTCTGACTCTGGTTCACGCTCCTCGGGCGAGACTAGCACTTCCGGTAGTTCTGGCTCGGCCCCTACCGTGGGAACTGTTCAGGCCGGGGAAGCCCAAATTGATGTTGTTAACATTGTCCCTGGTGAGGAGGGTGTTGATTCGGGGAAACAAGACAACATGGCCCTCGATGTGGTGGACCCCGCGGCCGACGTCGGGGAACAAGAATCCGCTAGTGAGGACGGCCGTCCAGACGGATATGACTCTGGTGTCGAGGCCCAGGACGGTTCCGACATCGAAGTGTTTGATCTTGGGCTAAAGATAGATGTGGAGAGGCATCTATGCCCGATCAAGAATGTCCTCTGCCACGAGCAGATCTTCTCGCCGGTGGCCCTCAACAAACTGAAGGTGTTCTTCCCCCCTCCGTCCGTATACAGCCTTCGTGGTGCAACCCACGTGATGAGGAGACGCCCAGGGATGATTATGGTGCTTCTGGACTCAATCGAGGCTGGGCTGCGCTTCCCCCTTCATCCGTTCCTTGTGGAATTCTTCTGTTGTTACCAGATAGCCCCCGCACAACTCATGCCGAACTCCTATCGGTTCGTCTCCGCCTTCCTGGTTCGCTGCAAGGACAATGGGGTCACCGCCACTTTGGACTTGTTTCATTACTTCTATCGGCTCACCCCCCAAAATTCTGACGGTTTCCTGAGCATTGCAGCTCGTCCGAAACGGAGGCTGTTCAGCGGGGCACCGAGTTCCATCCATGACTGGAAGAATCGGTTCTTCTTCGTTCGGTACGCGGATGCTCGTCTACCATTGCGCTGGAACGGCTATCCGCCCAAGATAGGATCTCCGGAGCTGACCAACGACCTGGAGGAGGACGTTAGAAAGATCTCGTCGGGCGGCATCCGGCCCTTGGATGATTTCCTAACCTTTGAGGCGCTCGCCGCGGCAGGAATAGGTACCGCCCATGCTCTTGGACATCTCCCCCTCTACGCTCGTCTCGGGGTATTGGGCGGTCCTCTCCTCCGAGGTGAGTTCTTCCCGTCGCTCGTCCATCTAACCCATTTCCCTTGTTTCTTTCAGGTCTTCCCCCAACCCAGGAGCAGATGAATCACGAGAAGCTCCTCAAGAATCGGAAGGGGAAGGGTGCCGCGGCCGATGCTGCCCTGGCCAAGGCCAAGGCCGCCCAAGCAACAGACTCTAATTCTTCCGCCTCCCAGGCCGATCGTCGCACGGTGGAGGCGGAACAGCACCTAATTGCCACGGTGATGGCACAGGGGTCCCAGGCCCCCGTCCTCAATCCTGTCGTCCCCGAGGTTGTGGCGCCCCTGCAGGCCGTTCATCCGCATGAGGGGGAGAGGGCGCGGGATAAGAAATCCAAGAGGCCTCGGGGGGCTTCCTCTTCGGCCCTCGAAGAGCAAGGGCTGATCCTCCCTTCCCTTGGACGTCCGGCCCATGACGTCTGGCAGGAAATTGCTTCTCTGGTTGGCGTGGACATGCCTCCCCGGACGTCTTCAGAGGCCTCCAATGCGGTTCTGGCCGCCGCTCTTCAGGTGAGATTTGCCCCTTAACGAACGGTAGATTTTCCATATTCCGCTTATTCGAAGTCTCACCCTCTGTATCTCTTTTGTAGGTCGGGCTCTCTACCCTGCAGGCTGAGGCTGCCCGGGATGCCGATGCCCTTCAAGCCAAAAATAAGGCAGACGCGGCCTTGAAGAAGGCGAGAGAGGCTGGCGGCCAAGGACAAGGAGCTGCAGGCCGCCCTGGGGGTAGCCCGCGAGTCCACCGCGAAGCTTGCGGTCCTGGAGAAGGCCGGGTTCAAGCTCGTCCCAGCTCTCCCCGCCCCCAAAGACGAGGCCCCTGAATGGCTCGTCGATGATTCTGGGTACCACAACTCCGGGGCCTTCATGATTGCAGCCCAGAAGTACCTTGGGGGCGCCTTCGGTGATGTATTCGCAGCCGAGCTGCAGAAGCAGGCGCCCAAGGACCGCCTCAAGTTCGGGGTCCGAATCCTGGAGAGTGCGCCCCTGGCTGAGAAGTTCTTATATGATGTTGGGGATAGCTCCTTCGTCATCGGCTACAACGAGGGGGTAAAGGCCACGTTGCCGGTCTTCGCCGCTCTTCAGGGGCCCAATTTCGATCTGGCCGAGCATGCCTCAGATCCGGAGCTGATCCGAGTAGTGGGCAAGTTGAAAAGGGACGCCCGGCGGGAGGAGGCCAGAGCCCGAGGGGAGGTCCCGGAGCCCCCGTCCCCCGAGCCCGAGCCCGAGGAGGAAGAAGAAACCATCCCTGGGGGGTCCCGGCCTGTTTCTCCCAATTTTGTGTGATGTAGCTTGTAGTTTCTTAGTTTGGATCCTGTACTTATCCGGCCGGTAGAGCCGTAGAATATACAACTCTTTTTGCCTCATCATTGTCTCTACGTTCATATCTCTTTCCGCTTTCTTTTTGCTGTCAGTAGTATTTTGCCATTATGGAATATAGCCCAAGTTTGTGAGGACGTTCGTGCCTATAATCCATTCCTGTATCCCAATCTCTCGAGATACGTTCGTATGCTCGGGAGCTGACCCTGTATGCGTAATCCCAGATCGGAGTCGGTGGAGACGTTCGTCACGTGGTTATAGGCACGACCATTTGTGACGTTCGCCTGTGCAGCTAGATGTGGGGATACGAACGCACTCCCCAGGAACAGCGCTTTGGTAGAGAAGTCCGTCGTGTTAAGGACAGCATGACCTTTTACGCCTTGTGCTTAAACCAGATACCGTTCGCGGACGTTCGTCTGGTTGGGCCCGCGTTCCA